GCCAGGCCACAGTGTGGACTTCCTATGGTGGGTGCCAGGCCACAGTGTAGCCCTCCCATGTGTTATGCCATTTGCACAGGTGTTTATGAACTCTGGGTTCCAGAATGACCTTTCCCGAAATGTAGAATTCCACTTGTTCACCACCTTCAGCTTCAGTAAGATGTCTTTTTCTGAAGCCTGCCTCTGTTTTAGTTTAGGGCCCACCCTGGAACCTGAAGAGGTGGTAGAACATCTCATGTACGGGATCCTCACTGAGAAGAAAATGATATTTGTTCCAGGTGCTATAGCGTTTTTGATAGTGTTGGAAAGGTGAGTGACAGTTGGGTTTGTCGGCATTGGAAATCAACATGCTCCTACTAGATTTAAAGTCAGTTGATAAAATGCAGTTATGTGGGAGTAAGCTGACGAGCTCATAACAGGTGAAGAGATTCTGGGTTTTTAAAGCTGAGGGTACTAATCATTGAGGGAAGACTGGAATGGTCACTAAAACATTTTCATGTGTTTTTAAGTTTTGTTAGAGTTCTTTTTAAGAAGTTTATGTCTGTTATCAATGAGCAAGGGTGTTTAAAGCATGTTTACTGTCCAGTAATTAAGTAGGATGAAAGGAAATCAAGGTTAGATTTTTTTTTAAATCTTATTGTCATTTGTAAAGCAAAATGCTTATTATCATCAATACTTGGTTCTAGCCCAATTTGTAATTTCAAGGAAATCTGAGAGGCATGATCTCACATTACCAATGACAACTGGTTTGGGTTTTAAGTTCTGTAACGGACAGCATAAAGACGGTGGTGTGAGAAAGCCGTCACTGTACCCACCCGGAAGTCACAGCTCTCATTGTTTCCGGCTTCCAAATGAAGAAGCTTCCCATTTGGGGACCCGTCTGTGGAGTCCAGGATGTCTCACTCCTGATTCTTGTTCAAGAAGCAGTTCTGCTCTGTCTGCTGTAACCTGCATCAGCAGGTTGTCCTCTCTCCACAAAGCTTACCTTCCAGCAATCCCGGATACCCTTTTGATTTGCAGACCTTTAGTGACATAGAGAACCATAGACAAAAGATAGTTTAGAAGAGATGAAATTAAATTAAAAAAACAAAAACAAAAACAAAAAAACTTCAGCATCTGTAATGCAGGAAGAAATACTAGCAAGAGGCCTTAAAAAGTTTTGAATGAAGCAGTTCACTTATTTGTCGTAATGTCTGTTCAGTTGGTAACAAAGTTACATTTTAGATACTCATTCACAGATCTCATGGGAGTTTCCATGCTATAGAAAAGTCACTTTGAATCATAGGAGCCACTAAATAATCTATAATTTTAGAGATCTTGGCCTTGCTTGCAGTGTGGTCCTTGGATTATGAGCATCCATGTCCCTGAGAGTTTGTTAGGAGCACAAAATGAGAATTTGCATTCCCTCCGACTCCCCAGAAGATAAAGTGTCTGGTAAAGTGTCTGCCGCATTCTTTGCACACTGGAGTCCCACAGAGAGGCTAAGGAAAGTGCTGATGTCTGAGACCCGCTCCTCCAGCTCTTCCCGTGACCCTGAGGCACAGCAGAATTTAGAAAGTAGGGGTACTAAGATTGCCTGTAAAACACACACCCTCCTTCCCTACCTGAGAAATCTGTGTGGCCTTTGAGGCTGTAACAGTGAGCCTCAGAAGAGCTGGGAGGAACAACCCTTACCCTCTGATAGGGGCTTCTACAGTTGCATGGGGTTGCTTGAGAAATCTGCTTAACAAGTAGATCCCACCACCTTCTAGATATTTTAATATAGGGTATTTGAATCTGGACTCAGAAATCTGTATTTTAACAGGTAACTGCTACGAGCAGCTGGTCCAAAAAAAAAATAGTATTTTAAGGATTACTGAACTAAAGATTAAAAAAAAAGATATCTAAGTATGACAAGCATTCCATCCCCTTCTACTCAAAACCCAGATGAACATGCCCTCGCGTTGAGGTGAAAAGCTCATGGGAAGGGCTAAGGAAATGGTTCAGCAGTTCGGAGCACTTGCTGCCCTTACAGGGGGACCAGGGTTCAGTTCCCAGCATGGTGACTCCCAACCGCCCATAACTCCAATTCCAGGGGATCTGGTGCCCTCTTCTGGCCTGAGAGGACACCAGGCATACATACTGCGCACTTACAAACACACAGAAAAAGCACTCACCCACATAAAATAAAAAAGAAATCTTTTTATTGAAACAATCTGAAGTTCACTGTGAGTCACTGTCCACTACTCTTACGGCTGTTAATGGTTATTGGGTGTGTGGTTTCCAACACTGGATGCTGTCCAGCTGATCACTGTATGTCGTTACACTGACTTATATATTCCAGTTACTTTCTCTCAGACCCACTGGACCGTGTGACAAGCTTCAAAATATTCTTTAGTGCGCACTCTGGGGAGAAAACGAAAATGAGATGAGCTGCATATCTGTCACTTTTTATAACCTTGAATGCTAACATAGAGATTGCTCACAAGAACAACTAGGCATACATTTTCCCATGTACTCATGGGAAATTTAAACTCAACAGTCAATTAAAGTTGCTCAACATTATGCTCAAAATCCAGGGCACTGCCTGCATATTCATTTAGCTGCTCACTTCTCGGGGCTTTAGTGCAGCATTTCAGCGATGTTTTCAATTAGAAAGCAGCATTTTAGCTCTGGATTTTACTTACTTCCCAGCCTCAGGGTTCTTTTTAACCCTTTAGCGTCTCAACGATTCAGCTTTGTATACCTCCTCTCTGAGATTTTTTTTTATAAAGGGAAGAATATGTTGATTTCAAAAGTAAATAAATACATATATGTGTAAATTTCAAAAGATATTCAGGACACTCCTGCCCTAGAGAAAGTAAAGCCTTGGTCCTCATTTAAGAAGGAAGTGAATTGAAATGGAAAACCTAAGTCCAAGTTAAGGTTCTTCATCATGTCTATAACGAATCTGACACACTATATCATAAATTAAATATTAAGTATTTTAAATGACCATGTTTTACAAATGTACTTAGTATCACATCCCTAATTGTGTTTACACATCTCTTCTAGGATCCTTCCTGAGCGATTCTTGGCAGTTTTAAAACACAGGATCAATATTAAGTTTGATGCAGTTATTGGATACAAAGATAAATGATGAAGACTGCCTGGTTTTCTTGAAAGCTGATTTACCGGGCTCAAGTTGATTTCTTCCTATATTAATCAAGATTTTAATGTTTTTAACTTTTTTTTCCTCAATATTCTGCTTCTTCACCGTCTCCTCTTGAAGTGTGACCACGCTCATGAAAGCCAGTTTCACATCCTAGAGCCAAGTAGCCTTAAGAGTTGCTCTTGCCAGGTGGTGGTGGCACATGCCTTTAATCCCAGCACTCAGGAGGCAGAGCCAGGTGGATCTCTGTGAGTTCATGGCCAGCCTGGGCTACAGAGCGAGATCCTGGACAAGCACCAAAACTACACAGAGAAACCCTGTCTCAAAAAACAAACAACAACAACAACAACAAAAAAGAGTTGCTCTTACTGAAAAGGGGTGGGGGGGGCACACAATCTATTTCATGATAATACTTTTCCCAGATTTTGTAGCTCATCACCAAGTTTTCAGAGCTTGTACTATCAATTTTTATTTATAATATTTGTAATTGCGCTCTCAGTTTATATAACTCACATTTCCTCTTCTATTCCATATACAATTAGAAACCTTTATCTCTACTGAATGAAGGACTGTGTCCAGTGTCACTTCACAATGGTTTCATGTGCTCTGGAACATTCCATCCCATTTATCAAATACCATTTCCTGAAATACCAGCCCAAGGAAGCTGGGGGTAGATGCTGTGGCAGGGATAAAAGCATCTGCAGGATTTCAGGCTGAAGTACAGGGGAATACACTTACAAATGCTAATAATAAATGGGCCAGATTTCAGTTCTCAGTGTCTCCATCTGCTACACATAGAACATGACTTGAACTTTAAAGGAAAATCGATGATGCAATAAAGTCTCTCTCTCTTGGTTTTGCTTTGCTTTTTGTCTCCAGAAATTTCTTGAATGTGAAGTTCGGTGAGGTGGAACTGTATGACCAGGCCTCGGGTGGGGCTGGGCATGTGGCTCTATTGTTAGAGTACAAACGTGACGTGCACAAACCACTGGGTCCCATCCCTAGCACTCTGCACATCTGGCCTGGTAGCACACACACACACTTATCCCGGGGTTCTAGAGCCAGAGGCAGGAGGAGGTTCAAGGTCACACTCGGCTATGTTGTGAGTTGGAGTCAGGATACCTGAGACCCTGTTTTAAAAAGAAAGACACTTAAAGGGGAAGCACCTGATACGGTATGGTAGCCCCCACCTCCCTTAGAAATGGCTTCATTCATTGGGCTAACAGCCATGTACCATAGGCTTGCTGACCTTAGCTGCCAGTGGAGCGGCCATGGTGGGAGCCTTCAGAATCTTTAGTGAGAGGACTCACTGTGGATTTCAGGATACCGACAATATTTCCCTTTTCCCACTAAACACATTTTAGCTTCCAAAACGTTCATCAGAAATTAACGCAAAGATGAATTTTAGCAGTGACCAACATGTGCCCTGCTTCTTTACCTATGAAGCTGGCAAAATAGAAACTCATTTCTTTTGGTAGATCTTTTTTTTTTTTTAATTAAGAAAAAATGTTTTTATTCACTTACATACCAATCACAGATCCCCTTTTTCCCTCCTCCCGCTCCTCCAGCCTCCCCTCCCCAAACCCACCTCACCCAAGGCAAGGCCTCCCATGGGGAGTCAGCAGAGTCTGGTACATTTAGGAGAGGCAGGTCCAAGGCCCTCCCCCTGCATCAAGGCTGTGTAAGGTGTTCCACCATAGGCACTGGGTTCCAAAAAGCCTGTTCATGCACCAGGGATGGATCCCAATCCTACTGCAGGGGGGGTGGGGTGGGGGGGTACGGGGGTGGGGGCTTAAGCAGATCAAGCTACACAACTGTTTGGCTTATGCAGAGGGCCTAGTCCAGTCCTGTGGAGGCTCCTCAGGTGTTAGTCTAAATTTCATGAGTTCCCACTAGTTTGGTTTGGTTGTCTCTGTAGGTTTCCCCATCATGATCTTGATGCCTTTGCTCATAGAATCCCTCTTCTCTCTCTTCGACTGGACTCCTGGAGCTCAGCCTGGTGTTTAGCTGTGGATCTCTGCATCTGTTTCCATCAGTTACTGGATGAAGGCTCTATGATGACAGTTAGGGTATTCACTGATCTGGTTATTTGGGTAAGCCAATTCAGGCACCCTCTCCGCTATTGCTAGTAGTCTAAGCTGGGGTCATCCTTGTGGATTTCTGGGAACTTCCCTAGCACCCAGTTTCTCCCTATCCCCATGATGTCTCCCTCTATCATGGTATCTCTTTCCTTGCTCTCCCACTCTGTCCCTGTTCCAGCTCAACCACCCTGTTCACTTATGTTCTCATCGCCCATTCCCTACTCTCCATTGGCCCCCCATCCCTAGTTTACCCATAGAGATCTCATCTATTTCCCTTTCCCAGGGAAATCCATGCGTCCCTCTCAGGTCCTCCTTGTTAGCTAGCTTCTCTGGAGCTGTGGGTTGCAGTCTGGTTATCCTTTGCTTTACATCTAGTATCCTCCTATGAGTGAGTACATACCATGTTTGTCCTTCTCTGTCTGGGTTACCTCACTCAGGATATTTTTCTAGTTCCATCCATTTGCCTACAAATTTCATGATGTCATTGTTTTTTACTGCTGAGTAGTACTCCATTGTGTATATGTACCACATTTTCTTAATCCATTCTTCCGTTGAGGGGCATCTAGGTTGTGGAAACTCATTTCTTTAATGTTAAGACACACACCAGGCAGAGATTGCCACATGATTGTTATGGGATATTTGTGTATACTGTGAAGATATGTCTCTGCCAAGGCACCTTCTGATTGGCTTAATAAAGAGCTAAATGACCAATAGCTAGGCAGGAGAGGATAGGCAGGACTTCCGGGCAGAGAAAGGAAAGGGAAAGGAGGAATCTAGGCACAGAAATTTCACTAGCAGACTTGGAGCAAGTTGGACATGCTGTATAGAGGAGAGGTAACCAAGTCACGTGGCAGAACATAGATTAAAAATAAGGGTTAAATAAGTTATAAGAGCTAATTGAGAATGATCCTAAGCTAAAGACCAAGCTTTCATAATTAATAAGTCTCCGTGTCATTATTTGTGAGCTGGTGGTCCCAAAAGAAAGTCAAACTACACATGATCTCACAGCAGTCCTGTGCAATGGGACCATTAGAACCTAAACTGGCTGTGGACAGAGCAGGAGCCACAGGAACCCAGAAGAGAAAGCCTGAGTCTAAAGCTCCACTCTGCAGGGTGGTAAATGTGTACAGGATGGGGAAGGACTTCCGACTTTGTCTTTCTCTCTGCGTTTCTTAAAAAGCTTGTTCTAAGTCACAAACATTAGGCAGTAGCTCCCTTGACTCAGAGTCTGAGGCTTATTCAATGTTGTTTGAAGTTAATCCTCACTTGAAATCTGCCTCTCACTAGTTTGATGAGAAAATCCACCTTGTTCATCAGCAGAGCTGCCTCTGAGGCTCACACCCAAATCCAAGAACTGAGAGGCTGATTGCCAGCTATCAGGATTGTGTTTCTGCACTGGGGCCACTTTTCATGGGATGACTAATGCTGATTCTCAGTTTATTTGGATTAAGGGATGCCTAGGGAATTAGCAACGTTCACTGCTGGGTGTGCCAGGGCGGTCCTTTCCAGGGACAGTGGCTGAGAAAGGAACGTCTCCCTGATATGGCAGCACTGTCCTATAGCCTGGGAGACTTCGGGTGGGACAGAGGGGTGATGGGGGTCACCCCAGAACCCAGGTGCACCCCATGCCTTGACTACCACAGTCCAACAGCCCTGCCCACCGGCTCTTCTGCCATAATCCTCTGTTTCACCACAGGTCAGAATCACCAGGTGAGCTGGTCTTGGATTGTAACCCCACGAGTAAAAGTCACTTCTTCCTCCCTTGAGTTGCTTACTTAAGTGTCTGCCTTGTCCCAGCTGCCCTGCTGGCTTGCCAGAATCTAACATTTTATTGGAAACAAAGACTAGAAATGGTGGGAAGTCAGGCCCTTTTCTTTGGCCCAAGTTTGCTGATCTTTGACAGTATAACTTCAGTGTAAGTCCCAAGAATAAATGATTGCCCTAAAGGTCCTCTGCTTCTATTTCCATTTACCCACACTTTCTTCAGAATTCAAAATATATTTGAAAAAATCAGCATATAGATGTCCAGGATGGGAAGGAAACTGCTTACCCTAGAACAAACACTACAGTTTAGACACTGAGTTCCTCCACTTGGAAGTGTGGGACCTGGACCATCTCTGCACGCCACAGTGTAAGTTATCCTGAAACTAAAATAAACACAGGTCAGCAGTGGAGTGAGGTCTATCTCCTCTTGGGACACAAAATCTTCCTCAAAATAGATAAGAGCATTTATTTCCTGTAGAACTAACAAGGTTTGGCTTGTTTTACTTCGTCATCCTTTGTCAAAGACTGAGGGAGATGAACCTCTTACTTCATGGTCTTCTGTCCAGTTCTAGGTGCCCGGTAGTGTAGAGTACTGGACGGCCTAGTCCAAGCTAGAATCTAGTGCAAGTTGAGAAATTCTCAACCTGTGGGGCATGATCCCTTTGGGGAGCGAACAATTGTTTTACAGTGGTCACCTAGGACCACCTGCATACCAGATATTTCCATTATAGTTCATAACAGTAGCAAAATTAAAGTTATGAAGTAACAATGAAAATAATTGTATGGTTGGGGGTCACCACATGAGGAACTGTAAGCATTGGGAAGGTTGAGAACCACTGGGCTAGATGGTCATGAGTTTCAATTTCCTGTCTATGAAGTGACCAAATCAGCCCACCTAATCTCCCCGTGACCTTTTGCTCTGTTAAATACATGCCGTTGAGTCAATGCAAGCGAAAGGTAGCACTTTGTCAGCCTCACTGGTGTTTCCCACCCCAATGACACTTCTGACAAGTGTCCAAGACCAAACACAGAATAATTTCCTTCATTTCTCTTCACATATTCCATGTCAGTCACCATCCCCCACGAGGTTGCTTCCAGCCTGGATCCCTCCTCTGAACTTCAGGGACACATCTAAGTGATTTCTTGATGTCTCTATAGGTCTGCCAACAGGGACCTTCGAGCAAGAAAATAAAATAACAGAGTTTAGAAAGTATTTCAGTTTAATAAGACTCTAAATAATGGAAATGGTTCCAGTTTAGTTGGGAAATTTTTACAGAGTAGCTTGTCCTAGGATGTGCTGTGAAGAAAATTAGTGTTTAAGCTTCCAGATTCAAGTCAGGAGCAAACAATTGATCTAAACCATGGCCAGACTAAACTTGCAATGAAAATATATTGCAGACAATGATTTTGGCCTAATATGGTGATACATGCCTGTCATCCCAGAACTTGGGAGGCTGAGGCAGAAAGATCATGAGTTTGAGGCCAGCATGAGCTACATAGCTAGATTCTGTCTCCAAAGGAATAAAAACACACAACCACCCCCACCCCCACCCCGCAAAAGTTTTTCAATCAGGAGGCAGATCTGTTTTGAACAGTTAAAATCCGGTAAACGAAGAACATACATGTTCTGGCCCATTAGAAAATGGGGACAGAGAGAAAAAGATGATGCACCAAGTTCCCTCAGACTGACTCTTTGCAGCATCCCAGCTATTTGAGAAAAATTTAACTGCTTTGCATTTTCTCAGTGTTTCTCAACTCTTGGATACCACATGTCCTCTAGAAGTAAAATATGGACCCCACTACAAATCTAAGGCTGCCTTTCTGAAGCACGTGAGGGCTGTGTGAACTTGGATGGTGTCTGTCCTCTGGTCTGGTCCCTGCAAGTGTCAGAGGAGGCTGTAAGAGGGTACCAGATTTCCTGGAACTGGAGTTGCAGGAGGTTGTGAGCTTCCTGCTACGGGTACTGGGAACCGAGCCCAGGTCGTCTGCAAGACCACAAAGCACTCTTAACCACTCAGCCATATCTCTAGCCACTGCAGATTTTTTAAGAAAAGATTTATGAGGCCCAGCGGCAGCCCACAGAGGTAGACAGGCCCGGCAGCGGAGACAAGCAGACACAGGTAGGCCTGTGGCGGCGGCCCGCAGAGGTAGATGGGCCCAGCAGCAGCCCGCTGAGGTAGACGTGCCCAGCGGCGGCAGCCGACAGGGCTATTCAGGCCCGGCGGCAACCGGCAGAGACATTCAGGCCCAGCAGTGGCCCACAGAGGTAGACAGGCCCGGCGGCGGAGACAAGCAGACGCAGGTAGGCCTGTGGCGGCGGCCCGTGGAGGTAGATGGGCCCAGCGGCGGCAGCTGACAGGGATATTCAGACCCAGCGGCAGCCGGCAGAGACATTCAGGCCCAGCGGCGGCCCACAGAGGTAGACGGGCCCAGCGGCGGCCCGATGAGGTAAACGGGCCCGGCGGCAGCGGCCAACAGTGACATTCAGTCCCGGCGGCAGCGGCCGACAGGGACATTCAGTCCCGGCTGCAGCCAGCAGAGACATTCAGGCCCGGTGGCGGCCCCCAGAGGCAGACAGACCCAGCGGCAGTTGACAGGGACATACAGGCCCCGCGGCGGACCGCAGAGGTAGACAGGCCCAGGGACGGAGACAAGCAGACGCAGCTTGGAACAGGGA